TGGTATATTAACATTATATCAGTTAATGAAATTACGGTATTTAACTGTAAATTTAAGTTAAATCCGTAAAACCTAAAATGTTGCTACCGTATTTTTTACAGTAAAATTCCGGCAACCACAGCTGCCGTTTTTTTTACTGGAAATTTTACAGAATTTTTTTTACGGTGTACATATATCTATCTATCTATCTATCTATCTATCTCAGTGCAAGGCAGTCTGCATTGCAAGCCTACATTTATTTGATGGAAATTCAATAATGACAGGAAATGTTATTGTAATTTTTTAAAACCTGGTTTCTAATTAAAAATATTTTAATATGTGTTTTAGTCCTGTGATTCCATTATAACATTATAGCCTTAAGTGTCACATGATCCTTCAGAAATCATTCTGTTATACCGATTTGGTGCTTGCAACAGTGTTGCAGCTTAATGTTTTTGTGGAAAGCTTGATACCATCTTAGAAATCTTATGTAATATTATGAATGTGTTTACTGTCACTTTTGATCAATTTAATTGCATATGTTCTGAAAAACAAACAAACATTTAAAAAAATTAACAAAATATCACAAATATAATGTGTTTTTTTAAGTCATTGCAAGTAGAGGAACCACAGGTCTTGTTCATGGCATGTTTTCACACATACTTGTTTTAAATTTGTCAGTTACCTTTATTTTACAGGAAGTGACCAGACAAAACAGGGAGAGCGAGGGAGAACAGGACTGGGACACGTCCAAGCCAGATTCAATCCTGGGTTCCTTACAAGAACAGCAGCTCTTCAAATTAAAGGGCCAAAGCACCACATTCTGTGCCATCTTTCCAACATACAGCCTTTTCTATATGTTTAACAGCAGTACTCTGCTTAAAAGTCATGCATGAACAGGATCTAATGTCAAAATGTCAACAAGTCGTCTCCAGCTATTTGCTGGTTTGAGAAGTTTAGAAGATTAATAGTTTGAGTCTGTAGAAGCTCCGATTTTATACGTCTGCTGTCACTCTAACATCAGTCACAAAGTTGATTGCATCACACCATTTAATTGTTATACTGTGACATTAGAGGGAAAAAAATGTGATTGTTCACATCATGGAAAGATGCTTTCAGATGCTTCTCTCCATCAGAAAATAATACATTACACAACGGAGATTTTCTTAAAGAGACAGTTCACCCAAAAATTCTGTCATCATTTACTCACACTCAAGTTGTTTCAGACCTGTATTCATTTATTTCATCTCTTGAACACAAAAGAAGATATTTTGGAGAATGTTGGTAAGCCAACAGTTGACCATAGCCATTGATTTCCATAGTATGGGGGGAAAAAATATAATACCATGGAAGACAATGGTTACCATCCACTATTTATCAACATTCTACAAAATATCTTCTTTTTGTTCAACAGAGGAAAGAAACTCATAAAGGTTTAGAGTAAACGATGACAGTATTTTCATTTTAGGGTGAACTGTCCCTTTAATATCTCACTAGATTTCTATCATGACTTTCTAAATGTCATTTCTGGAAAATGACTTTTTTCATTTTAACAGCATTTTGGAACAGATGTTTGAACGGTAGGTAGCTATTTTTTTTCAGTAGCAAAACACAATGGTTGACCACTGGTTCAGCTTTATTTTAAGAAGCTTAATCAGATTAATTCAGTCATGCAGCTGTTTTTATTTCAGTCGCACTGATATTTATATTTTGATAAGACAAGCCCTTCAGCTCAGATATCGCTTCACTGAGCTGATTTACCTGTTTAAGTAAATTTACATAACCACAGTAATGTTTGGAAACGACATACCTCTGCTCACACATGCACACGGCAAGTGTCTGGAAATGTCATGACATTCATAAACCCAATCTAGTTAGGAGAGCCACTTGCATTCAATTACAGTCTCCTTGGCTTTAGTTTGCCTGTTTTAATTTCTATCTGGCATATCTTAATATTTCCCTCTGTGTATGTGCAGTGTCTTTGTAGCACTCAGAGTGGGTTTATACTGTATGTGGTTTTGTCTCTTTGCTTGACCTGTGAAATGTGTGAGAGAGCGTTGCTACTTTCAGTTCCCATGTTTTCTTAAGAAGCAATTACAGGGGCCGTCCAGGGAGAGAGGATGGGCATCATGTTTTGACATACTCCTTAGAGATCAGCACGGATGAAATGCTCCCAGCGTTTAGTCATCACATTTGCGCCGACTCTGTTTTCAAGCTCTGACTTGCCAGATTGTTATCAAGGAAAATACAAATGGTTATCAGAGAAAGTACTGTTAAGAGGATAAGCATCAGTATGTTCCACAGAATCAATCAAAAGCCCAGGTACGCTGAATGTGTCCACACTTCTCGCAGGGATCTACTGTATATGCTCCGCCAAAGCCGTATTGATTTGTGCAGATATCTTTAAAGAAAAGCTGAACTGACATAACAGTCTGTCGGGATGTTAGTTTAGCTTGAAGGTGCGGAGAGGTGAAAAATCAATAGAACTCATTTCTGAATTTCTTCAAAAATGTTGAGCTAAGCCTTTGACCGATCCCGACTATGTGACTTTCCTGAGAAAAGATTAGTCAAAAAAGCAAAGCCGTTTGTGAGTGAAGGTATTTCTTTTAAAGAAAGAAAGAAATTTATTTACATTTTATTTGGCATTTACTTTGACATTTATACTTGCCTTTTCACATTTCATTTCAGTGAATGACTAATCTAATTCAGCGTGATGCGTTCAATAAAGCTCAACTCAGTTTCAAAATCCTTCCAGTAATTCCCACTGTCTTTCTTTAAATAAAGACAACCTCACATTCAGTTTATATTTCCTCGGTGATAATGATATAGCTTAGGTACCCACTACTCCTATCTCCTAACCCTGCTGACACTCTCCATTTCCAATTCACCCTTACAGTCCTGCAGCTAGTGTATCCAAGCACATCTAGATCCCCGGTAAAACGGCACAGTCTTGCGTAGACATTTTGAACATTGTGATAACATGACTGGATAGATAGATAGATAGATAGATAGATAGATAGATAGATGGATGGATGGATGGATGGATGGATAGGATAGATAGATAAAAATATTGGAAGGATGGATGGATGGATGAATGATGGATGATAGACAGATAGACAGAAAGATTGGATGGATGGATCATATAGATCGATAGATAGATAGATAGATAGATAGATAGATGGATGGATGGATGGATGGATGGATGGATGGAAGGAAGGAAAGAAAGAAAGAAAGAAAGAAAGAAAGAAAGAAAGAAAAAAGAGGATGGATGATAGACAGATAGACAGAAAGATTGGATAGATAGATAGATAGATAGATAGATCAGACCTCAGAAGGATTGCTTTGAGTGTGTTGAGACAGGACAAGCCCATGGTGATGTAGTGCTGATAGCACTGTACATTATTGCAAGAGTGGAGTGTAAAATAAATCATTTATAAGTCTGGATGACTTGGATGATCTTGAGACTGTGTGTTCATGTGTGTGTGTGTTCTCTGGAGGACAGGTGCTCTCTTGCTGCCTTAAGGCAACCTCACGGTGCCTAAGAGCCTATAACTGCAGACAGAGCGCTGAATTATTATATGGAAAAGTGAGCTAAGACCCAGACTGCAGAGGTGGGAAAAAACACACTTTGACCTGTTGTGCTACAGTTTATATTTCTGGGGCTGCATGACATCATGTGCACTTAAATGAAGGTCTACAAGAAGTGCTTGAGAATGAACAGCCGGCACTAGTGGTGATGACAGTTAATGGCTATGAAATACTGACAAGTGTCTGCTTTGTTACTATACGTGTAGTCGTATTCTATGACAACAGTTGTGCTATTTACATACATTTTCTATTTGTATTTACATTTCTATGATATGCATGATTCAAAAATAGATATATTAACCCAGCTGGCTTAGTAATGAGCCACCTGTCATTTAAATGTAATGAATTCATGAAGGAGGACTTACTGTAGTTTGTATCAATGCATTGCTCTTTATTGCATGCAATGCCTGTAATTGCCCCTGTACAAGTTATGCATTTGCACTTTCCATCATTTACAACACTTGAGCTGAAAATAACGGATTTCCTTGAATAATTCAGTGATGTGTGATTGTGGGCTGCTTTAGTGAGTCCAAAGACCACTGTTATCTCCTGCTGTTATAGTAATGCCTTCCCTAGGGTCTGTGGGTGGTGAGTGTGGCTTGAAGTGTCTCATGAGTTTCCTCCCCTGAGCTTTGTGTCCACAAATCTAAACTGGGCATGTCAATGTGATGAATGAGTTGTGTACAGGCTTACAGTTAATCAGAAGTTACCGGTTTTAAAATAGTTTAATGACATGATTGCACCAAAACTCCTCAGTTGTGCAAACACTAAAGCAGATTGACATTGAACTTGAGTCATCATGATGTTAGTAAACATACTGAACTGCTGGTAGAAAGAAAGACGGATAGATAGATAGATAGATAGATAGATAGTACAATGGACTGATGGATGGACGATGGACAGATAATTAAATAGGTAGATAGAATGCTGTATAGAAAGAACTATGGGTGGATGGATAGATGGATAGGTACATAGGAAGTATGGACGGAGGGATAGAAGGCAGAAATGCTGTGTAATACTCTGAGGCTCAAATGGGGTGACAGTTTTTATTTATCATTTCCCTTCATTGCAACTAGGTTAAAGGTCATTGGAATGTATAAGAGACCATTTGAGGCAGATGATGCACACGTTATAATGTGTATAATGGAGAAGCGCGTTTAGGCTGCTGTGTGGGCTTCTGAAGCAGCCTGCACTGATGCCGCCGACAGCTCGCTAACTGCGCGTCTCTCCACCCGCTGACAGGCGGACGTCACAGACGAGAAACACCCTGCAAACGACATGCCACGAAAAAATAAGTTCTTCGGAGTAATATAATAAACCAGCTCACTTCCTCTGGCAATCGCAGAAGTGGCGGAAGTACGTCAGTTTGCAGCGTTTACACTTCGCAGTGCGATTTCTGACGAGCAAGAACAGAGAGAAGAGGAGATGTGAATTATCCGCTGTCTCTTTAAAAGCCACTTAGCGAAGCTTCGCGTATTCCGACAAACACGCCGACGACGTCTTTCCCTTCAGTCGCAGCGCGCGGACAGCGTTCAGGAATGGAGGCGTTCAGCTTGCTCTCTGCTGGATAAAGAACTCTTTTCCTGGTTGGATATGATTTGTTTTTTGGCGGATTGTGTGCTGAAGAAGGATTTTTGGGGGATATAACGGACCGTGTTGTCTCGGATGGTTTCGTGGCGTCTCTTCACATTGAAACTTGCCGATGCAATAAGTTCCTATTTGTAAATTCTTTGACAAACACGCGGATGCTTATTTTGTTGTTTCTGGCACGGCGGGTCATGAAACGGGTGGAAATTAAAGCAGGGCCAGCAACATGAATCCAGCGTGCGGTCTGCAGCATACATACACACACACACACACACACACACACACACACACACTGATGTTGTTGTATTCCGTTGCAACAAAGTTGCTGTGCGCTTGGAATTCACGCGACCGTAATTAAACAGCCATTTTGCACCTGTTTAAATGAAGCGAGGCGTTTCGATCCTGTGACGCCGTGCTTTGGATTACACACACACACACACACGCCTTCTGCATGGATCACATTTGTTTGTTTACCACGTTACGGAGCTTAACATCCAAGGTCATACTGTAAATTGTTTACAGGCTCCAGTATCTATGGGTGTGTTTTATTGATTGTGTGGAATCGATTGGTTTTGACGTGATCGAGTGTCAGTTTTTAATTTTTTTTGCGGGGGGGCGGGGGGAGGACATCGCACCGATTTTAAAATGGAAGGGAAAGTGAAGCAGAGTCGCAGATCCCGTTCGCAGCGCGAGAGGGGACGGAAACGGGAGGCGCGCGCCGGGGAAGCCCAACATCGGAGCCCCTCGTCTGGTTCCGAACGGGAGCGAAGTCCCGGTAAAAACGCTCCGCCGCGCTCGACTTCCTCGAGCAAAACCCCGCGACCCCCCCGGAGGAAGAGACGCGAGTCTAGTTCTCAAGAGGAGGATATTATTGATGGATTTGCTATAGCCAGTTTCGTCAGTTTGGACCGTCTCGAGGTAAGAACCGGTTTCAGTATTCTGAACACGTCTGACCGTCTACGGCCGCGGCGACGGTTCAAGTTTTTTTTTGTTTTGTTTGTTCTTTATGTGATTGTGATGACATAACCGCTCGCAGTTGAGGGTGCTAAACAGGTGTTTGCGCTTGTCACAATGTCGCATTCCAGAAGTTCCGTTCCATGTGAGCGTTTTTGACGTCAGAATACAGTGATAGTTCCCGTCGTGACGTAACAGAGGTCACATTTGGCGCTGTGACCTTTTGCTGTTTGGCGCTGAAGTTGTTTGACAGGTCACTTCGTATTAATACAGTGAATCCTTATCAAGGGTCTGTTTGAGGTTTGAATAACAAGAAAATCAATATCGACTTGAGTTTGTCATGTGTTTAAGTGCTTGAATGATTCATGACATATTGGGAAGTTGTGGTTTTTATGGTTTTGGGGGTTTTTTTTAATGAAGAGGAGCTGTAAATGTCACTTATCTGTTGATATGTCACTCTGAGATGGCACCTACCATGACATGACTGCTGTGGCTATGACAAATACTGTCGTCCAAGATGATAAAAACATACATTTTGTGAAAATCTAGTATAAAATGTATGTCAAGTTTTTGGAAAGACTAAAATAATGTACTTGGGAGTATATTTTGAGATGTAAATATCAAGGCGCTTTTGGGGTTACTCATTTGACCTACAGCAAATATATTTTTTTAAAAGGTCAAATCTGTTATATATAATTTCTTTAACCTAATGACCTTCCTTGACACAATTATGAGGAACTCCATTATTTCGGTTTCATTTCTTTTCTTGACCAAAATGGCTTCCTACTTGTTGGGTGCCACACTGACTTTGATTTGGCTATTTAATGTGTTCTTCAAGTATTAATAATAGTTCAAAGCAAGCTAGCTACAAAGATCTTTCTGATTATGCCAACCTATTTAAGCCAAGTTACACTGCCTATAGATACTTTGACTTTAAGCCCTACAAAAAACTTGTTATTAATCAGAAATTGAAAAGTTGTAAGTAGATCTAGTCGTTTTGTTTTAGTTTTAGGATGGCCTGACAGATCTTGACCAAAATATGTAATGTCATTGACCCATACGTAGATTAAAAACAGAAATCACCAGCATTATGTCCAGATTGCTTCCGTAAGTCAAGCTGAACTACTGTAAACCTTCATAGAGTGAATGTGTATGTGTGTGTGTGTGTGTGTGTGTGTGTGTGTTCCAGACAGGATCATTGATTCATCAAGTGTGTTTAAACTTGTTGTACCAATAGAGAAGCTAATAAGGGCAAGTGAACAACAGCTTTACATAGGTGTTGTGCAAACAGCCTTGCAGAGAGTTGTATAGTCAGCTGAAGTGGTGGGTTATTGGCTAGTGAGTGCGAGTTTGTGTGGGTACATTCATAACAAATGACAGTGGCCTAACATGACCAGTGAACAGTAAAACAGGGCTCAGTCACATAAACAAACAGAGATATGCTTCTACATTGACTGTGAAAACAGTTGACATAGTACCTCTCGAGAGTGAATGATTTATGTGTTACGGTTATATAAAAAAGCCAGTTTGTGTTCATTTAAACATTAAACTACTAATTGAGTAGTTATTTCTCTGCTTTGCAGATGTGTTCAGGCGTTTGACCCTGATCATTCCCTGGTCTGATTACTTATAGCATGCTTAAATTTTCATAAACGCATTAATTTTTTAATGAAAATATATACGCATATGATGATGCAAAAATATAAACGCATATGAGACCCCCTCATATGATTATAAAGCGCTTTGGATGTACAACAATACACAATAAAGCGCTATATAAATGCATCATTCATTCATTCATTAATTTTTGATAACAAACAGTGAAGATCTGAGGCCTCCGAGGCCTCCGGCTTCGCTACCGTTCGGACGTTCTTGCTTACTGCTCTGCGCTTTGCTCCCTATTTCTGTACTTTTCTTTGATTTTTCTAAGATTTTTACTTCAGCAGATCAGCACAGTGCTCAAACAACATATTTTTGGCACAAACACTAAAACAAAAAACTCTCTGGGACTGGAATAATACCACGAAAAAGAAGACTTTTGCCTCCCACTGCCAGCAGCTTACATTCCGGAGAAGGGAAAACACAGCTGCCCACATTCAAACAGAAGACAAAGAAAATGCCTTCTGTTGAATCTACTTGCTGCATGAACTACTGCAAACTTCTACAAAGGATTGCGGTTCTTGAAACAAAGTTACTTGCAGGACTTCCAAAACAGGCAGAACACTCAGCAGACCATTGTCACGGACCCCCTCAGCATACAGCCGGTGAGTCCCATGAACCTAGTCAATCTCAACAGTTTATACCAAGTGTAGAGGAACAAGCCGAAACTGATTGTCACACTAATCGATGGCACAAACAGGGAGCGAGACCCAAAGGCACTCGAGACATCAGATTGTCACGACTTAAATCAATTGTTTTAATCATTTTCAATGTTTTTAAATTCCTTGTTTTATTGTTGTGATTATTTTTTTTCTTTTCTTTTATGTAAAGCACTTTGAATTACCATTGTGTATGAAATGTGCTATACAAATAAACTTGCCTTGCCTTGCCTTGCCTATAGAGAGACTAGTTCTGCTCATATAAGTTGTTCATAGCACATCACTTAATATAAGGATTTTGAAGATGTTCTAGTTGGCATGATTCTTTTGAGAATCCACCCACATGAGCAGTGTAATTCAGGCCGCTGCAGATAAATGCATCTTTCTTTGAACTTTTCCTCGTGTTTTGCATGTCTGATGAACAGTTAAGTGAGCAGAGCTCTCCATCTGGCAAAGGAAAAGAAATCCATCAGATGCATTTGTTTGCTACTTAATGATTTGCTTCTGAATCAGCATACCTGTGTGTGTGTATATGAATTTTCCGGGGTGATTGAAATGTCAAGCTGTGGGATATGATGTGGTGTGGTAGAAGCTTTGAGATGCATTTTAGCAAAATTACATAATGCCCCCCAGCTCTTTAAATCCTTCTGTGTAATGAAGCACTTAATTGATAAGAATGCTGCAGTTATTCCCTCTCAAGAGAACGAGGAGGCTTGTGTGAGTGTGTGGTTGTGCTGGATACAGGATGTAAATCCTCTTTGCTGAGCCAGTTGATCCATATGGTTATATATTTCTCTGGGCTTAATGTTACAAGTTGGAATCTGAGTTGCGTAATTATACGTTATGTGATTGTGAAGTGTTTCATTTGCATTTCTGCATTATCCGATCTCTGTTTTTTCTCATTGTGACTATATGACTTCACTGACACACAAAGAAACATCTTATTCAGTGATAAATAGTTAAAACAAAGGCGAGGCTGATGATATCATAGGGATTTTTTGGGAAGTGCCTTCAATAAAGCATTGTACTGGAATGTGACGTCTCCAGTTTGGTGATTTAGTTCTTTAAAGTCATCATGTTGGATTTTTTTATTTTAATATGTTCCTTGAGGTTCACTTAAAGTTTTTGCACAAAAACAAGTATATATGTGTGTTTGTGTGTGTAAAAAATTATTTGAAACCCTCTGTCCCTAAACAGCCACCGATTGGCTAACGTCATTGCTTTTGGAAAAAATATCATTTTTTTTTAAATGGTCCCTTGCTATCGCACATGAGTAAGTGTTTTGAAAACATGATCCATTATCCAAAACTGTCAATTATAGACAAAGCATTATAAAATAGTATACTTATTATTTGCGACTTCAGCCATTAAGTGAATAAACATCAGTGGAAGGGATATGAGACCTTTAAGATATGAGAATGATGATGAAAACTTGTTTTTGTATTCCTGGTGTCCACATTTGCACATTCCCTGTTCTAAAGGTGTCAAACCTAAACATAACTGTTCTAAATGCATTGCAAATCAGACAGGAGGGTGGAGAGATGGTGTGGTAAGGTGTTGGACAGTGTTTTTAAAAATGTTTTTGACCTCTGCATGTTTGTCTCTTTGAGAGAGTGAGCAAGTGAGTGTGGGAGATGAAGAGGTGGACATGAGGGAAAGATAATGAAAACTGTGACCTAATACGCTTTTTTTAAGATTTCATTGAGGTCATAGTTTTTCATTAGTATTTGTTTGACTTCGACACTAGTCAACACAGTGTTCTGCGAGAGACTGCGAACAGTAAGCAATAAACCTTTCCAAGGCCAAGTTTCTAAAGTTCAAAATTCACCTTATTTTCCACTTGTACTATTTTCTAGCAATTTTTTTTTTTTCACGAAGCACCCGCTGGCAGAGAAAGCTGTTCAGGGAAGACAGAAACAACAGACTAGCGTTAGTGCTCCTCTGAAAATTGCAATAAAAATAATGGGGAAGAAATTGAGAGGAGTCATAAGTGGCTCATTAAGTAATAGTGTTTTCTTTTTAAACAGGCAGACCTTCACTAGTCCAAGTTTCTCACTCTGTGAAAACTATTACTGTTAAACACTTACACATTGAATTTGAGGATATGTTTTTCCGCTATGATTTATGAGCATATGGATGATTTTTTGACTTGTGTAGTTCCCTCTGACACCATAGAAGTGTTTGCTATAAACTTGTTTCCGACGTGTTGGAGCCTGTTTTGACTTTCGCTTTCAGGGCTTTTGGTTATCTGAGTGGTGGTTGTGGTTTGCTGTCTTGTTTCTGGGTGTTGATGAATAATTTCTCCAAACAAGTTTCAAATCATTATATGCACAGGTTTGTCGACCAAATATATCAAACAAGGCCTTAAAGGGGTCCTATTATGCTCTTTTACAAAGTCTTGATTTTGTGTTGGATGTGTACTAGAACAGGCTCTCATACTAGGTTGTTCGAAAAACACATTATTTTGCACATATTTTACATTATTACAACACCACTCTCCCAAGTTTGGCATGAACGGCTCGAATCGTTCCTGTATCAAATGAAGGCCCGCCTTCTGAAATACGAAATGTGCTGTGATTGGTTAGCTGGGCCAGTGTGTGTTGTGATTGGCAGCACTCGGTGCCTGGTCGAGAAAATTTAATGCCC